AAGTGAGAGAAGAAGAAGGAGGGCGATAGATTACAGCAATATAGAAAGATAGAGAAGAAGACTTAAGAGATACAACAAGACATTCAAAAGAAGAAAAGTGAAAGGAAGTATTAATGGAAGCAGTAAATAGAGATTTATAAAACAGACAGATACCTCCATAAGAAGAATGCGAAGATGATAGAAGATTTTTTGGAGGTCTAGAGAGTTCAAGGAAGCTGTAACCATCAGGAGTAGCAAGAATAAGAGAGGGAGAGTTAGAGTCCTCGTGCCAAGTTTCAGTAAGAGTAAAAAAATCAGGTAAGGAGGAAGAGATTATTTGATGGATATAGAGCGATTTTTTATTAATTGATCTTATGTTAATATTAAACAGTGAAAATGTAGAGGTAGGTTGAATATTGGTATTTTTAAATCTAGTTATATTATTTAAACTAATAGAATTAGAATTATTATTCTTATCATTAGTATTAATTACATTAGGATTAGAGTAGGATTTAATAAAATTATTCATAGTAGAATCAAAGATAAAACCTAGACTACGAAACTTATGAAAGACATCAAGAGTTTTAGAATCAGGTAAGATAATAGGAGGAATAGTTATAGAGTGTTTAAATTGTTAGAGTGTTAAATAAAAAATCTACTGTGTGTAAAAATTGGTTTCAAAGATTACCTATGTCTAGAATGTAGGGTAAAGATTGTAGGGAGAAGAGATTGCGGTCAACAACGAATAACATTAGTGATATCCTTGTGTCACTTGTTGAATATCACCACATTTCAACCACTACAAAGTGTTAAAGATAGGGTTTTGTAGAGGTCGACGATTGTCAATGTCCTGAAAGGATAAGGCACGAGAAAGCCGTGGAATATATGTTTTATAGTGTATTTTAAACTGAAATTGACGGGGTCTCTCTAACCTGTTTTTATCAAGAAAGAAATGGCGGCCACCTAGAAGTTAGCTATCTATAGCTACACTAAAAAATTGAACTATATGCCTGTTTGGTAATACTATATATATATATAACCATATATACTGAATCAAGGTATATGTACATAGCGATAACGACTCGCTCCATTCAAAAAACTGTATAGAAAAAAAGTTGGGACATCCAGCTTGATTCACTGGATCAGCGCCATATTCCAAAAATTGAACTATAGTAATACAAGATGATGATAACTAACTATACAGCCAGTTAGTAGTGCGTACAATAAATTGTTGAAAACAGCATAAAGGACAATAATTTAATGACGAGATGAAAAGATAAAGATATATATATATATATGTATATATATATATATATATATATATATGTATATATATATATATATATATGTATATATATATATATATATACATATATATATATATATATGTGTGTGTGTGTGTGTGTGTCTATGCGTGTGTGTAATCATAATGTTGACTAATGAAATTAGGAAACAACCATAAAATAAAAATATTAAAAACGTCAGTCGGATGATGTTAAATTTATAAAACAATTAAATACAGATTTAAAAAACTTTAAAATCATAACGAGTATCCCAATGTAAAATGGTATGTTTCAGTTCTTCTTGATGGTTCTCATCTTTTTTCAGCTGAAAGGGCTAAACTTTTTTTAATTTTACTTCCATTACCTTTATCTTCTACGAGTGGAACATCACTAACTTCATCGCCCTGTCTGCCACAACCACATCCGCCATCTCTGTGATATCGTTTTAATCTGACGTGCCATGCGACGCTGGTGCAGGCCGTGGTCGTTTTGAACTGGTGAATGACGTTCCTGGGGATGAAGTAGACGTCATTATCTCTTAGGTGGATGGTCGACGTCTTAATGTTCTGTCTGTGCAGTTGGTTAAGTCGACTGCCTTCCAGCCATGAAATACACTGTCAGTTTACATTACACTACATTAATGATGATCAGTTCGATAATTTCAAAAGTAAAAAATAAACAAACAAACAGATAACAATTTTAACAAACCGAACAAAACACAAAAAGATAATCTCTGGTCAAATCAAAGAAATGCACTCTACAACACAATACAGAACAATTAAGCAAGCCAACTAATTCTATACACAAGCAATCAACAACACACGTAAAGCAGACGGGTGGAATCTTCCTTGCCAGCCACTGCACCTAACCTGGGTCATGGGTGGTTCGTGCAGGTCCAACTTCAATCGGTCGACCATCTCTTCAAAATGTGATGCATCAATGCACACAACCTCCTTCACAATTCGGTTGCTGTGCTGACTAGAGAGTAATTTTTAATGCAAAAATGAAGATAATCTCATAGAAGGATGATTGCAATTGCTAGCACAAAAGTTATTAATACAATGCTTCATTTCTATTATGATGAAAGAATTATTATTTTAAAATTAATAAATGCAAAATCATAATAACATTTCATCAAGGTATAACTTTGACAGCATTTTATTTTATCCTGACAAAACTAAGCATCACACCAATCAAAATTCTATAAACAAAATAAATGAAAAAATTTCTGAAACCTATTATTACTAGCGTGAGTGGCCTTCAAGATGCCAACAGCAGCAGTTGTTTTCTTCTCGAGGATGGCGCCAACCTGATCTGCATGACATTTGGTTCGATCCTCAATCAGAAACTCTCTCGACTCTCCAGAACGAGGCAAATATTGAAGGTTTTTTAGTTCGTTTATGCCCCTGCCACATAAAAAAATTATTTGAAATGCATGCAAATGAAACCAAGATAAATAAACAAGGCATATAACAATTAAATTAAAGATAAAATGAGTGTAAGAACTAAATTCTGTAAAAACAGTGATATTTTTACGACAGAAAAATTAGAACAACTTTTTCTTTGGAGTTGCTGACTTGGGCATATCCTGTGTTGGCACAACTTGCTCTCCGTATCGGCACCAAAGAATTGGCCCATCATTGCTTAGGTTAGGCTCAATGCCCTCCAAACAGGAAACGTCGCCCCAGGGCAGAGTTTTCTATAAGAGAAAATATTCATTAATAATTAAATTATGGAACTTGAAATAAAAATGAAAAAGAATTTTAAAATAAATTTAAACTACATTCAAAAAAATATCAAGAATTAACCTTAACAAATAAATTAGACTGTAGCATGTCGAGCACAGATGGAAAGTAATCCCCGCACTCTTCCGATGTTGCTCCTACTAAACTCACTTGCAACAGTGGACCACATCTGATGAAACAATAAATTGATATCACAATTGTGATAACATGTTAAAAACACATTTAATAGAGACACAATTTAAGGTTTCATGTACCTGAATGTACCATTGCAATAAGTCGCATGGACCATCTTTCGATAATCACTTAATTTCAATGTCTCTACATCTGACTTGCCCATTAATGTCCTCTTGACAACTAAATCTGGATAATCATCAGCCATTAGTTCCAACAAATCAGGTAAGTTCTGAGCTGCATTATGCACAATGCCTATTACATGATTGGGAACTTTTGGTGTTGACTCTTCAAAAACTAAACCAAGAAACTCATCCACGAATTCCTCATACTGGTATGGGGACAGATTGATGAGATCGTCGTAGTAACAATGAAGAGATGTGCTTCCTCCTGGATTGCACTCATTAACAAAGTACAGATGCTTGTATTTCAGATCACTTCTACTTGAATACATGTCAAGGCCATTTCTCATAATGTGCTGGTCAGTGAATGACAACTGCATTGAAATGTGAGATGAACTTTTTAATGCCGTCAATTTATTATTGTCACTTTCAGTTTCCTTTCCACTTTCCAATGGAAATTTTTTGGGTTTTTTATTTCTGGTGTTTTTATTATCGCCCATCTTCTTACTACCAGGGCTTTCATCCTTTCGTTTCTTTGATGGTTCTACGTTTTTATCTGCCCCAGAATCGTGTTGCATGCTGCAGAATGATAAAGATGACTGAGAACTTTTCGATTTCTGGATTTTGTAATTTTTTACGTCGTTTTCGTTCAGAACTACGCTAACACCAGAATATGTTTCTTTATTCATTATCTATAAAAAACACAAGACGATCAATTTAAAATTGTTTTTCGATACAACTTTGAAAGAATTTTCTACAATTTTGTTACTCCATTTATTTCAGTAACAAAATCCTAATTTAAAAGTAAAACGCAAGCAAAACAAATGCACCCGACACGATTTGAAAAAAGATTATTGTGTTGTGTAGACAGAACGAAATGGTAAGCCACTGTGTTTTCTAAACAAAAAGCAATAATTTTATTTAAATTGAAAAAAATAATTTCAAATTACATACTTCAGTTTAATTACAATGTATTAAACATATCAAGTCAAATAAATATTTAGTATTAGTTGTTTGTTGGTTGAAACCCATGCAATTTCCTAAGCCAACCATGGCTTCAGTAAGATACTGTGTTTTCTAAACAAAAAGCAATATATAAATTGACAACAATAATTTTAAATTATATAATTTGGTTTAATTATATTGTTTTTAAAAATATTTAGTCAAGTAAATATTTAGTATTAGCTGTTTGTTGTAACCCATGCAATTTCGTAGGTAAGCCAATAAGCCAAGGATGTCAAACAGCATGATTCTTTACTACTTTTAGTTTATATGTTTACTATTTTCAATCATCGTATTCCAGATTTCTTGGTTTTAACTTTTCTTTGAATGCTTCGTGCTTTTAATTAGAAATTAAATTATCATTTGACTAACTAAAAAGAATGGAAGATTTGTGTTGTCCCAGATGCAAAAGTACAAAATATAAAAATCCAAATTTAAAGCTTATGGTAAATGTCTGTGGTCACTCGCTGTTAGTGGCTTTTCACTTTGCCTTTTTTTAATTTTTTTAAAATTATTAGAATTTAGTTTTTAGAAATTTTTAGTTTTACTTTATTTCCATTTTTGGGCAGAGTTTTTTTTTGTTTTTTAAATTGTTTTTTGATGAAAAATTTGTTGCCAATTTATAAAAATGTTATTATATCAAAAATTATGAAATGCCATCCACAAAATTATTTACCTATGAATAACCACTCTAACTTGAAACATCATCATTATTATTTTTACGCCAACAACGTCATCAACAGATGTGAAAAGTGTGTCGAGTTGTTGTTTGTTCGAGGCTCTGGAAAGTGTGAGACATGTCAGATCCCACTGAGGAGAAATAATTTCAGAATTCAGGTATTTGAATCACCTGAAGTCGAGAGAGACATAGATATTCGTAAAAAAGTTTTGAAAGAGTGAGTATTTATTTTTTTTTTTCATTTGTTTTTTTTTGTTTAATACAGAGGTATCAACAAATTTACCCAATTGTTTATTCAGTTACAACAAAAAAGAGAAGGATTTTTCTACATTGCGAGAATACAACGATTATCTAGAAGAAGTCGAAACTATAGGTTGACTTTATTTATTTATTCCTGCTGCATTAATTTCATTTAATTAATTAATTTAATTAATTATTTATTTATTTTCTTATTATTTCTTTTAATTACTAAACCGTTGCTATTTTTCTCCTCACAATTTAAATAATTTGGTTAACGTTTTTTTACTAAGAATTTTCTGATTTCTTTTTGATACGATCAGTTTTGGGTTAGGCTTGAGTTATGTCATCATTAGCTGTAGCTGTAATTAGTATTATTGCTTTATTCACTTCTAGATGAAATGATTCATTATTATTGTGATGAATTGAATTAATTTTTTTAATTATGTAAATTTAAAGGTAATGTCAAATCATAATTTTTAGTTTTTCGTTGTATTATTTTATTATTTAAATTTGTGCTAATAAAAATTATCCTTTCTATCTATCCAATATGATTAATAACTATTCATTGCTATTTCATTAACGTATTTATTTTGATTAATTAATTAATTAATAATATATTTAATAAGTATTATCAATTAATTAATACATTTAATGACTAAATAGTCTTCAACTTAACGTATGGGATCGACGTCGAGCAGACGAGACAGAAGATGGAGCAGTACAAGCAGGCCAACCAGGATAACATCAAGAGGAACCGATTAAAAATTGTTATTTATAATTATATATATATATATAATTAATTTTGATTTATATGCTGTTGCTGCTGATGTTATTGTTATTAAATTTTAATAAAATTTTAATTATTTTATAAAATTATCTTAAAAACGATTCATAATGAATCAGGAGGTATGTAGGATTAATATTAATAACGTGACATAATATTAATTGATAGCAACAACTTATTCGGGCTGATTTAAGAAATGATGACATTATTAACGAAGTAAATTGTTATAACAGTCAATCATTTGGCATTTGTATTGCGCAATTTCTAAAAAAAAAAATTCATCTGTATTCCTGCCTAAACTTACAAAACACAACCAATTAGAAAGAAGAAAAGATGACAAATAGACAACAATTAAATAATATAAAGTAAGAAAATATGAAATAAATATAAAAATAGTTATTCATAAATGATGAAGAGCCAAGAGGAAGAGGAGTTACTGAGGTTGATAGAGGAGGAAGCCATGGAGCACGAGATCGCGCTACAGCGGCAGGTACAGGATGATCTGTGCGAGAAAGACCAGAAGCAAAAGCTGAAAGACAACATCATCAATGATCTGGTTAGTTGAGTTTTTTTTGATTGTCTATTTTTTACTTTTTTGTTGTTTTTGTTTACTTTTTTTTGTTTTGGGTGTTTGTTTTGCTTATTGCATTTTTCCATTCCGTCCAATGTTTCTTTGTTTTCCACCTGCTGTCATTAATAAGAGATGCATTTAGATATTAAGCTGTGATATTTTACTTGCCAAAATCATTTTACTATTACTCTACTTTTACTTTTACTTGCATGGCATGATATGAAATTCTTTCCACTTTTACTTCCATTTCACTCTTCTTCACTTTCCAACTTGCCATTAAGATGCAACAGTTGCCAAAAAGAATCATTTTACTTTCATTTTTACTTGAGTAAAACATCGCTGATACTGAGAGGTTAATATCAGTTCAAATCGTGGAATCGTGATACAATCGTTTGGACGCATATAATTAATGCCTGTGCATGCGTGAATCTGCGTGCATTTGTTGGTCTTTATTTATTTAATTATCCATTGTGTCAGATGTTCTCCAAGCTGCCTGCCAGCCACATACTGGAGACCCATAAGAAGGATGCGGAGAAGATTAAAAACGGTGGACCAGAGAAGACCAGCAAATTCTCCAGTGGCATACCAATTGTTAGTTGCACGCTACACTATCGTAATGAATATTTTTAGCATAATTTACTTTAATATGTCATAAATTTTGTCATGATTGATATATTTAATAAATATATTTGGCGTATTTTATTTATTATGTCATAATTATTACCATGATTGATAAATTATTCCAACAGCAATTGTCATAGAATTTATTTCATTTCATTTTTAGCTATTAAAGAATAATTTTTGGTGCGTTAAGGTTGAATTGTTTTATTTACATACATGTATATATATATGTATATATATATATATATATATATATATATATATATATATAATAGTAACAATTAATTTAATATAATGTGAATGGCTCCTAATGTAATTTTTGTTATTTTAAAATTAATTTAATCAAAAAATTTTGTTCCTAAAATCATATGCTCGTTTTGTAGGGTAAGCAGGAAGTTCAGAACGTATCAGCGGTGTCGGAACAAGTCTACAACTACAAGTACCAACCTTTGCACTTTGATAACAAGGGCCCTGATCTGCCTAGCATCGACCAACTCGAAAATCTCAAGTTCGTTTTACTACCTGATCAACTTGTTTCTGCATTTATTCACTTAGTTTACTAGTTCTTTTTAAAATTTCGTTTTTGAAATGTAAATTTATGAAATGCCATCTCTTGTAGGTTGTATGTAATTCATCACATCGCCTAATTTTCAATAACTTCAAATTCACTAAAAATAATTCAACTACCAACTGGCAGTTATTAACAATGAATAACGTTTTAATTTACGCAGTTACCTGGTCAACGTGCGGGAATGTACGCGGACAGAGGTGGCCGGCGGGTTCGTCTCCGAAATTCCTTGCCATCGAGCCCTGCAAGATGCCTACGCCGGACTTTTCATTTTCATGGACCAATCTTCTGTCTCAATCAAATCTTAACCCGTTATACTTAACTAGTGATATTGGTTGTTTCATTCTTTCTGTGTATATTATGTGAAATTCGCTCTCCATTTAATTTGTTCTCGTTTTCTGTGAAATTCAGTCAAAAAATAGTACGCAAAATGTGTAAAATTTGTTTTGTAAAAAGCTCTTTAAACTGACAAAATTGTAAAAAAATTTGTATATTAAAATGGGATGACAAAATAAGTCTGCTCAAATTATAAAGTTACATGAAAGTAAAAAAACATCGATGGATCCACGATGCGTTAGTACGCGTTGTCAGCAACGAATGTGTTTTTTCCGGAAGCGAATGTTTTCAAATTGCCTTGGAACTTTCCGAGCGTGGCGAGTCCGTTGGCTTTTGCAATTTTCAACATTTCTTCTCTAGCGGCTTTTTGATTTTCTTCTTTTCCGTGCCATATCAAGGTAGCCGATGTCTGCAAGGCCCTGGCAAAACTAAAAGATAGTGCCCATGGTCTATTCGGCAGTTTATTCATCGCGTTCAAATTTGCGGTTGCTTCATCTTCGGCCATTCCACCGGATAAAAATACGATGCCCGGTATTGCCGGGGGTATCCTCCGTTGCAAAGCACTAAGCGTAAAACTAGCTATCTCATCTGCTGTATTCCGTTTAGGACACTTGAAACCTGGAGTTACCATTGCTACTTTTAGTAAAAGGCCCTCTAAAAAAACGTTGTGGATAGCTAGGGAGTGCATAACAAATTGTAAAACCTTTTCCGCAATTTCTTTTGTTGTTTCGATGTCATGATTGCCGTCGGGTAGAATTTCTGGCTCAATGATAGGGACCAGTCTGTTCTGTTGACTAATTGAAGCATACCTCGCCAGAACGTTGGCATTCTCAATCATGGCTTGGTAGGTTGGAGTAAATTGCTGAATCTTCAAAGTACACCGCCATTTCGTAAAATGAGCGCCATCTTTTTTGTATTGAGCGCATCGTTCTGCTAAATTGTCCAGACCCTGCGTGGTCGTTTCTGCATCTGACCCAGCTAACGGAACAACGCCCATGTCTACCTGATGGTATACCAATAACTGTTACTTTTAAAACAATAATACAGTTTTACGAATTTTCAACAACTTCAAAATTATTTAAACGCGTTAAGCTGTACGCAATAAAAACCTTGATTCCAGGAACAACGCCATTTTGCTGAAGATGCTTGACGAACGGCACGCCATCATTCGCTTTCTGGTAGAGAGTTTCGTGGAAAAGAATACAACCGCCAATATGTTCAGACATCTCCTTTCCACAACAGAGCAACATCTCTCTGAACTTTCTCCTATTTTCTTCGTTGTTTTCCATTTTTATCATGTCCAGCCTCTTGTGCATGGATGCATTGCTTTCATCAGCAGCTAATATTCCTTTGCCAGGAGCTATCAGGGCCCTCGCTATTCGTCGCAACTCGTCCTCCCTATCTTTCGGTAGATACGGAACAAAGCGAGCAGTCATCGTTTTGATTTAGTAAATATATTTATATAAAGAGTTCGAACAAAAAAAGTAGGAAAGAAGTAAATTCGCGTTAACGTGAAAGCAAAAATATTTATTCTCGTCACTAACTGTGACGTTTAACATCATATAAATAAACAGATTATTTAATTTAAAATAAAATTTATTCTTTCAACATTATTAAATGCCAATTCGAGTTACGTACAGAAAGCATTTTAAGCATGTAAAATACACACGGGCGTCCAAAAAAATAAACTGAATTTTTTCCGGAATATCACAACATCGATAAAACACTGGAATAACTCTAGGTAACACGATATGAAGAACTGAGAAGAGACGGAACAAGTCGTTTCATTTGTTTGTAGATAATAAATAAATCATTAAATTAAATATTAAGTCAGTCAATAGAATATAAATAATATTATATAATAAATTTAAATATGGTTTCAATCTTTCTTCGCACGCTTGACTTTCTTGTTGAATATGATATCTTCAACTGATTTTGGCATGTTGTCAAATTCTGGTTTGACGTCATCTTTCAGAAGAAAGCACGTCCCAACGATCATGAAGAGCGTCGACAGGGCGGATATGATGATGGGAGTCAGTATCCCGACTGTAACCTCTGCTGTGTTGAAGATAAAGATTTCAGAAAGAAAATGTCCTAAGGCCAGGAGGAAAGAGAGCAATGTTAAATGATAGACAGCTTGGTTGTGAATGCAGATGGCGCAACATATCCTCAACACTGCAGCCAGCAAAGTCCATATTCCGAACAATCTCGCCACAAGGTTATTAACATTGGCAGGGGATGCCGTGTAGAGCCGCGAACCGAGGAATGAATGGTCAATGAAACAGGACACCGTGTTCCCTAACGCCACCAGACCCACCATGAATATCCAACCCTGCAAGGAACGAAGCAGATTCTCCTTGGAGAACATTTCAAATTTTGTTTACTAGGCGATAATACAATTTAAAAACCAGCTGGTCCATAGATAACAGAAAGAAAAAAAATTATTGCACGGTTGAATACTGGCACAGCCAAAACTGAAACAAATGTAAACTTTCCTGTGCTGCGTCAACACTTTTTAATTTAACTAATTAACAAACATGAAAACAATTAACACAAACATCGTAAACCTCAAACCGAACACACAATACACACCAGTCAACAAATACAAAATGTCCCTCCAACTATAAATTCAATTAAAGTGAAAAACATGAAATAGTTACAACTGCGTGAAGCACATATAAGGCACAAAGCAGCAATGGCTTCGGTGATGATGAATGCATCCAAGAGAAAGAGATTTTGAGAAGAATGAATGCCAGTGGCTCGTGATCCTCGAATCAGCGCTCCTATAGTATGAAGTATAGTATAGTTTTATAGTTATTAATTAATATTTTGAAACACTCACTCATTAAAATCAACATACAAAATAAAGAAAATTAATAAATAAACATGTCGTCAAACAAAGTTACACATCTTCCTGAATGATAGAACACATGAGAACACAAATGGTTTTAAAAAATGATATCCTTTTTATTTTATGTTAAACTTTTCCACGTTGAGGTGTCGTTAAATATCAATATTACACAGTGTGTTCAAAAAGAGTGACTTTGTGTTCCCACAGAATTTTATCATAAAGACTGCAGTAAGTAACGTATCAACCATTACAAATATTTACACTCAAAATGATAGAGACGAGAGGCTGTGAGTACAAGTATGCGGCGACTGGCCCACACATGCATTTTCAAACAAACAACATATAATAATAAAAGTAAGTAGCCTTACTTATAACTCACAAGCAAACAGGTAGACAAACCAATCCAATAAAACAACAAACAGACAAATGAACGAACAAACAAACAAATAAATAAAGACGGACAGACCTGCGACGCACTTGCCATTGAAGAACTGAGTGCCTTGGGGACACGTGCAATGGGAGAATTTCCTCCTCTTGAAGTGGTGCAACTCACATTTGAAATCAGCTCCACAGTCTCCATTATTTTCTGAACAATCTGATGACAATGACGAAGACGATGTGGCATGCTAATTATGACAACTAACTCGACGACGATGCTGACAATAATAAGTTTTACTTTCAATAAATCAATCACATCGAGATTTTAAAAAAAGTTAACCGACAAGAACATCCGTAGACGAATTTAATTTTAATCGGGGAAACTCTATTCTAAAAATCTGGTTGAAACTATTTTAACTCTTGCGGCGTGGCCTTCAACAAAATATGAAGACCATTTTCTGCCAATAACGTTATCGGATTTGCCTTTTTTATTACATATAGAAAATTTTAAACCAACTAAAAAATTGACACAAGGATTTTTGCCTCCAACATTCAAGGAGTGATTGACACCCCCGCTAAATAACATCACGTGACGATCGGGGAGGATATCACGTGATCACAAATAGAACGAGCGCCCACCTCTATCATCACACCTGGGACCCATCCAGCCTTCCTTGCAGCTCTCCTCCATGCAGAGCCTCGCATCACTGAGGTACTTGTTCACTTCGTTGTCGACGATAGCCGCTGAACACTGCGGCGTGTTCATGAAGAATTCGTACTTCTGACTGACTGAAAACAAACAACGACGACGATCATTATTAATTGATTAATTAATAATTATCAATATTCGTTAAATAAATCACGTAAGTAAAATCGTTCAATAATTCTTTTTTGAATGTCGATTTCAAAGGCTGAAGCGCTAATTTTGCGAACACTAACTCAAATAAACAGACATTTCGCGGATCAGTACTTAACTTTTTGTGGTTGACAACCAAATGAACGAACGATACTTAATGGGATAGATTAACCCCGAAAACTAGCTAAACTCTACTCAAATACTCATACGTCTTCAGACGAGTTTATAGAGTGAAAAAAACATACAGGCCGGATTTAGAGGTGTGGAAGAGGCCCTGCTGGGACAACAAAAAAGGTAGATCCTTAATTATTTCAATTTTCTTCGTCAAACTGGCTTCTGCAAAAGTTGGCAGCATTTATTTCTGTTTACTCTACATTTTATTCTATGTTTAATGAAATCAGTGTTGTTAAGCTTTTGCTCTTGTGAACAGTGGAAGAATAATGTTACAGTCACATTATCTTTTGAGTGGAGGCTCTTCTTTGTGAAGGCTTCTGGACAGTAGCCCGACTTAACCCGCCTTAAATTCGCCCCTGTTTGCATCAATAATTCTGATTTTTTTTTGTTTTACAGATTTAGTGATTTGTTGGCGGTAGATTATAATTCGATTAATTTTTTTTAATCTTTTACGAAAATATGAATACTTGAGTAGAGTTGAGTTAATTTTTAGAGTTAATCTTCTTCTGATTACTCTTGTATGTTATATCGGTAGACATCTCCCAGTTTAAAGTCACTTTTATTGACTTTTCAAATGTCCGGGGTAACATTGCATCTGCGATCACTAACTCAAATGAACGTTTAGGGCACTGGACCCCCCGCAAAACTCCTCATCACTTCCCGTACATTTGACGTTGCACGACTCGTCTGCTAACTTCTCGTACAGGCCGTAAGAATTGCCACATCTACACTCACTGCCGTTCTGCCAATTTGATTGTGAAGGATCGGTGGATTGATTGAATAATTATTTAGTTGATTGATTGATTGAATGAATAGTTATTTGCTTGATTAACTGATTAAATATATAATTGATTGTTTGTGTGATTGTTTGTTTGTTTATTTGTTTGATTGATTGATGAACAGAACATTTTTTGTAAGATAGTTTTGTATTTTTACCATTGGAGATTGAATAGATAACAAATAAGGCAAAAACTCAGTTCATATAAAATAAAGAAACTTAAATAGTTCTTAGTCATTTTGGCCAGTCATCATATCATCATAAAAATCACAGTTAACGTCATCGTCACTGATGGTAACACATCACAATCACCATCAGTTAACCAACATTCTCAATGCCATTAAAACATGCTAAAATTCTCTCTCTCTCTCTCTCTCTCTCTCTCTACCTACTACCTACCTACCTACCTACCTACCTACCTACCTACCTACCTACCTACCTACCTACCTACCTACCTACCTACCTACCTACCTACCTACCTACCTACCTACCTACCTACCTACCTACCTACCTACCTATCTATCTATCTATCTATCTATCTATCTATCTATCTATCTATCTATCTATCTATCTATCTATCATTCTAACTTCTCTCTGTCTGTCTCTCTTTTTCTCTCTCTCTCTCTCGAACACGCGTTCACACTTAGACACAATTCCGAACAGTCAAAGCCTAACAGTAGTAGTGGCCACTCTGAATTGATGTATGAAGCAGTTATCGATGCAGAGTGCATTGGTCATTCGTAGCCGTCCGTCATCAGTCAACATGAGTTTGTGCTGTGGATTTCGTTGAGGATCCAACAGGGTCAGCATGGAACTGGACATTAGGATTGACTGATCGTGATAGGTGCTGTCATCCATGTAGCAACCGACATCATCTACGTTAGCTGTTCCTTTCAGGCCGACTGGTGCAAAAATGTGTGTTTTTCATTTGTATACAAACATACAAATGTTTGTATACAAATACAAATGTTGTTTGTATACAAATACAAATGTTTGTATGCATTGTGCATCTAAATCAATTCAAATATCAACAATTTATTCAAGCAGCCAACCAAACGACAGACCAACCGAAAAACACGGAAAACTTTCCATCCCAACTACCGCAGAGGTCATTGTTGCCAGTGCACATGGCATTGCAATCGAGGTGGTTGACCCTTCTAGAGAACGTGTCCCCACATGAACATTTCTTACCGCCCTAGTACGCACAAAAACAGTTTTTTTTTGTGTGTGCGTGTGTGTGTACATGTATGCGTGTGTGTATGTGTATGCATTTATACTGGGCAGGATTTAAGACAGGGTAGGTGGGCGGAGCAACTGTCTCGGAGCTCCCACAAAATGAAGGCCTCCACAAAAACGGAAGTAAAACTTTTAACATTATTTTACGTAAAAACATTGATTTGTATAATAAAATTGTTGACAAATTTGGCAATAATGCAAACGAAAAAACAACGAAAAGGTCGCCAATTTTTTTCTTATAAGCAAACTGACAGCAAAGCATTGTCCCGACAACAACAGCCCGGCCACACAACAACACTACACCACACAACAACAACACACCACACAACAACAACAACACACCACACAACACAACACCACACAACAACACCACACCACAAAACAACACCACACAACAACAACAACACCACACAACAACAAAAACAACAACATACAACAAAAACACCACACAAAACAACAACAACGACAACATACACTAAGAGCAAACAGAACATTATTTTTCAACGCGCAGAAATAATGGCAGTGGTCAATTGATATGGCGTCAGTGGAGTCAACCTCATTGAACACCTCGTAACATCCCATGTACAAATCTTCGTTATCACCTGCGATGTAACGTTGCGATATGTTATTTATTTATGGCCTTTTTGACCTTTGACCTATTCGGTACCAACCAAATCACACCTGACCAACCTCTTCCGTAAACTTCGACCTCTGTAATGTGGAGTGGAGGCCTTTTGAGATCGAGGTCATTACCCAGTTTATCTTTTCCATGGTGGCTGACGACCACGAACCTGAAGTTCTCTGGATGGTACTGGCAGTTGAGCGTGAGAGCGTGGCTATTGTAGTAGTCCAGCTGGTTCTGCTGCAGCGATCGCTGCGTCTCTAACAACAGGATGCCGCACTGCGTCGATCGCTTGTCCGTGATCGTTCGACGTGACGTGTGGTGGTAATAGTTTGTCAGTCGAACTAGCAGGCTATCTGTTGGTCAACATATGTGTGTATATGGACGGGGTTTACTACTGTATGTGTGTCTGCTTGTTTACGTCTGTGTAATTATTATGTATGTGTGATTGTATGTACGTGTGTGTGTGTGTGTTTGTATGTGTGTGTATAAAATTGAATAATAAACTATAAACTATAACAACACGTGATAACAAGACAAAAAAAACAACCAACCAACTAACCAGCCAACCAACCAGCCAGCCAACCAACCAACCAACCAGCCAACCAACCAGCCATCCAACCAACCAGCCAGCCAGCCAACTAGCCAGCCAACCAACCAACCGACCAACCAGTAGCTTTAGCAGTGAAGAATACGATACTGTATACCCCGTACTTGTCCAGCAAATCAACGACAAACCACTCAAGAGCGACACCCTCCTTGAACCCTTCCAACAGATCTCCATCCACCATGAAGGAGAAGCTTTTGTTGCTGCTGTTGTAGTTGCTGCTGACGTTCTTGTTCTCGTTTGTGACGCTATTGATGCCGCGGCTGCCAGCGAAGATGTTGCTGCTGATGTTGGCTTGGGACTTGACGTAGACGTATTTGTTGAGGGCCAGGTTAGACAGGATTCCATCAGGAGCTGAGATGTTTCTCTCCTTAACTGGTGATGATGGTGGGCGTTAATGCTAATGACGCTGGTGACGACGTAATTGATGAGATGGTGAAGATGATGACGTGTATATTCTAAGAATTAAAATTGAAACCAGGCGAATTCATAAACGTTCACACAACACACGAAAGAAAATTGAACATTACACAGTCTCCATACTTACAGATACACCTCTGTAGAGCCCTCCATAGGACCATGTGGCCCTTGCAGACGCAGGCACTGTGCATGTGGGTGCCAACGTTGTCCGATCTACAGACCTTATTGGCATCACCCGAGCACGTGACTGGGGAACTGCAATCTGATTTGGTAGTGTGTAATGTTGTTTTTTTTGTCCTTGAATTAAATCTGTTGATGAAAAACACAACCGACTGACCTAAGAGATTGCAGCTGACTCCAGCCCACCTATGTTCACAGACTGATCCGGTAGACAACCAATACTTGGCAGCCTTTTCGTCCCTTCTCCCAAAGGGCAAACACCTCCCGTGTATATCGACAAATCCGTGAAAATGAGCCCTGCTTCTTTCTGCTATTTCAGGACTATTTTTATCCTTTTTCATATCACCCCCACCAACCTCACCACCGACTTCACTGAAATGTTTTAAAATCATCTCGATGTTGCTGGAGTGAGTGGTAGCTGGCTGTTGGGGACAGTGGATGTTGGCAGGCAGTTGCTTCGATCCACTGCGCTCCTCCCATTGTTTAATGTTAACTGAATCGTGTTAGTGTTAGTGTGTGCATGTGTGTGTGTTTATGTAAGTTTCAGTGTGCGTGTTTATGTAAGTTTGTGTGTGTGTGTGTGTGAGTTTTATATACAAATTTAGGATATTATATTAAATCCACATAACTGAAAGATACAATGATTTGTTAATTTGTTAAGTACAAGTAAAGAGTGTAGAGCAGAGCCAAGAACAACAAACAGCCCACAACAACGAAAATTTATGATACCATTTTCCGATATATTTTAAAAGATTAATATAGAATAATTTTACTAATGTAAAAAATTACATTGACTTATTTTAAATGTTTTTTGGAATATATTTCCTCAAGTATTTAAGTAAAATTCTGAAGCAAATGTCGAAGAAGTTTTCTGAGGGTCGGGAGTTGGAAATTTTTACTCGGAGTCAAGTCAGAAAATAAAGGAGTAGCAGTTGGCCAAATTTTTTATTCGATTTAGACACCCTGGTTATGCTTATGATGAATGATACATACAGAGAGACACACACACACACATACATGCATACACAAATATACATACATACACATATATACACAACACACACACACAAATATATATATATATATATATATATATACATATATACACATATATACAAGCAAACAAACACACACACATACATGCAAACACATATACACAAAACACATCAAAAGCGGACCTGAGTATATACTGACGAAACCAGGTCCTCCACAAGATAAATTATCGCCACTGTCGCGGCCAACATCACCATCCTCGCCGCTGCGCTGACATGAAGTCATGCACATTCTCTCGTGCACCCTATCCAACTTATGCATTGCCACATTAGAACCGCCGCATAAACAATCGCCATTCTCCTTGTTCATGATGATAGTGATGATGACGTTGGTGACGGTAATGATGAAGATGATGATCTTGATGATAGTGATGACGATGAAGATGATGGTGGTGATGATGAAGATGAAGGTGATGATAAAGATGAAGGTGGTGATGAAGATGACGATGGTGGGCTATTTATCTATCTGTCCGTTCGTTCATTCGTCCATAATCATCTTTTAATCATCATCATTTTACAATCCCTCTGAGTGGTTTTATCACCATTACCACCATCTTATTGTAAGCACCGTAATCATCCGCATCCTGCCCACAAACAACGACAATCAATCGAACCCACCAGCATGAAGACATCAATGAAAGTACAACCTTGATAGCAAAGACCGTCAACTTCTCACAGTAGACCATGCATTTGATGAGAGGTGACACATTTGATGACGTCAGCGACGACGACGACGATGTAGACGACATCTCTTCCTCCAGCAGCTTCAACAGTGACGACAACGGCGGCTTTCTCTGAATGCCCATCACCGCGGTCACTTTGTCGTTGTACAGGAAGCAACCATAATACGTCCAACCCCGCGCCATGCTCGTAACTGTGCTCTTGTCTGTTGTGTGGTAGTGGTGGCTGTGTGATCACGTGTGGCTGTGGTCACATATGGTTGTATTGCTTTGATCGAGTGTATTAGACTATGGTGGTTATTTGTGGTGAGTTGTGGTGGTTACGTGGATTAGGCTGTGTTAGTCAAGTCAGGTGAGGTGGATTGAGTTGTTCAACAGGGAGTATAGTCTGTGGTAGTTACATGCAGAAAATTGGTCAGACTTACGAGGTGACATACTGGTTGTGGTGGTCACGCGTGGGGAGATGTTTTTACGATACGTGGGAAAGCATGCAGTCTACTAATTATATTGAATAAATATTTGAAACAATGGCGCAAAAACATTTAGACATCTAACACAGAAGCATGAAAAAAAAACCTGTATAAACAGAAAAAGCGCGCGCTCCACCGCAGAAACTGACCAGATCTGGACAGATGGCGTTGCAGTGAAATGAACTGACCTCAAGCTCTGGAATGCCACCGCATCTGCACGTCCTTCCGTTCTGTACGTTTGTCGGGATTCGAAAAATATTCAGATGTAAAAAAAACATCTCGCAATCAGAAAATAAAAATTCTAAAATTCAGCAAAATTTTTTTGCGCGTTCACTATTTAATGTATAATAAATGAATGTATTGGAAAATTTAGGAGCCGGATTAAGAATAGGGCAGGCCGGGCTAATGCCCCATCATAGTCTCACCATGCCCCATTACAGCCTTCAAAAGAAAGAGGTCAAGTTAAAGAAATTTCAAAAATCAAGTTTACGACGGATTAGAAACTTTTATGTTTTTATTCCAAACACTTGTTTTTTTATTTATTTATAACAATTTGAGTGCAAAAAAATTTGAACTTTTTTTTATTTTGGAAATATTAACAGGCCACGGTAGTTTTGGAACTTGAAGGGCTCCCAGACCTTTAAATCCGGCTCTGCAATAGATGAACAAACGAAAGAACCATGAGTGAAAAATGTGAGTGTCCTTGACAGTGTTCCTTGCACTCTCTCACACTGTTCACCAACAGTTCTGGAGTGCCGGCACCGACGTTGAAGATCAGGAAGCAGCCATCGTACCACTCAGCGTAGGTTTCTTGGCATTTCGAGTCATTGTTATCAAGGATTCAATACTTATTTGTCGTTTAAATACTTCATTATTATCAATAGTTTAGTTTAGCTACGCAAATACACGCATACGCACGCACACACACGCATACGCACGCAAAACAATTCATTGATAGAACCAACCTTCCCCATAAACTTCGACCTCACTGACGGACAAAGCAAATCTACTCTTTCTGGCATGGAACTGTTGCACCACCACAAACCTTCCCGACATCTTGTTGCCCGTCGTGTCGCAGTAGACCCTCATGAAGCCGACGTCGTCGGCCACCGATCGTTGCTGACCACAAAGTACGTTCGACCATTGCTTCAGGACTGGAGTTTTCAGGTTGATTTGGTTTATAAGACGCACACTGAAGTAATCTAGGCCATCTGGCGTGGAGTGTAAATTTGGATGTGATATTATTTCTGAATAAAATTAGTGAAATTGAGCAAATTTTGACGACGTAAAATAAACTAGCTATCTATAAAATGAAAGTAGACTAAGCCACCTGGTGAGGTTTTAAAATTTTAATGTGCGATAATATTTCAAAATAGTGTTAGCAAAATTATTATTGATCTTATTCCAGCATTGACATTTTAAAATAAATTAGCAACTGGCTGACAAAGTAAAACAAATTATCAGCTGGCTAACGACATCGAGGGCAGGGGCTAGGGTAAACATCAACATGACTGACAAGATAAATCCTGAGCAAGTCAACCATGATCCACTCATCCAAGTCAGACTTGGGGCACGACAAAATCGAATTAGGATCTTTGATGCCGTCTGTTGCAATTTGGAGGAAAGAATTATTTTTGTAGGCACTCAGAATGACTGGCTTGTGAAGGGCCACATTTTCCAGCTGTATTTCCAAGCTCACTGAGGTAACTTATTTGGGTGTTTAACAATGTTTTTTTTATAATATGTATAATTTTGAATTATTTATAATTAATTATTTAATATAATTGTTATTACAATTCGAAAGTGAAACCACTGATCTAGGTTAAAAAAATGTAGAAGTGGTCATTGAAGTTATTGCTATTTGACAAATTTTCTGAATCATTTTTGATATTTGATAATTGTGAATTAGAGTTTATAAAAAAAATCGCTAACGACTCCAGCAATAATGGAATAAGCAAATGAATTTAAAGATTTCTAATCTAATGTTGAGTTATTTATGTTACATATCTTTTTTCTTTGTTTTATTTTATATTTTAAAAAGGTCCTAACCTCGGGTATTTAAAATGTTGACGAAAACAAAAATTATTAAAGAAGTGTATTGCAGGGTATTATAATGGATCATAATAACTTTATTCAACTATTAACTTAATTATTCGATCAATTAATCAATCAATCAATTAATTATTTAAACAATGATATTAAAATCTCGTACACAAATTCAAATTTGTCACCATAAAGATAAAATAAACAAAAGGTTTTTTGAGTAGAAACCGTTAATACTTGTATCCAAAAACCAAGTTATTTTATTTATTATGATGTAAAATTTATTTATTTAAATTAATTAATTTAAATTTAATTTTTTAATATTTGTGAAAAATTATGAAAAGTAATATGAAAAATCATGAAGTACGCATTATGTTACTATGTATGGCACGCAGACCTTACGTTACATATAACTCAGGTGTGCTCAGAGTTTGAGTTTACTTTTAGTTAAAATTTGAAAGGTTAATTAACTTTATTTTCGTTTTGGAATTGAACTTTGTTAACGTTTAAAAATCGAAAATGGCCTTTTTACGAAATTCTGAAAATTATTTTTATGCTTTAATAATATTTTCTTATTTGCGTTTTTTAAATCTTGAATCATTGGATGCTGTCCGAGTTTTGGAGCATTTGAAATGGAGAAAAATTAATTTATTTGAATATGAGTTTCATTTTCTAATGTCAACTGATTCTGATTGGAATAATAATGTTAATAATTATAAATTAGATAATAATAATAATAATGACTTGAATAAATTAAATGATAATAATACTAAAATTTATTCTAACTTGGATAATAACAATGATGAAGAAATGGAGGAATATTTTAAATTCTTCGTCTCAAATCTTGGCCCAGTAATTCATCATTATATTTTTTAATAAGTTTTTCAATCATTCATTCAACCATCCATCCATTCATTCTTCTATTTATTTATTCATTCATCCATTCATTCAACCATTCATCCATTCATTCATTCTATAAACTTATCTAATATTTCATTCTGTTTTTTTTTCTTCATTGTGATTATTACTTATATGAGATGATCAATCAACTTTTGATATAATGTCAATTCAAAGATAATTACATTGCTGTATCATCATAATGTCACTATCATCACATATCAATCATCTTCAGCAGATATAAAACAACACTCTCATTACAAACATCATCTCCTCAAGATATATCATCATTTCATCATCAGTTCAAAATTAAAATTTACCAAAAAATCAAAAAAATTTTTAGAAATATTTTCATTTAAATAAAAAAATCTAAATTCAAAGAAATGCCAGAATTTGAAAATAAAACTGAAGTCGCTGAAGGAACCTTTGCCAGATATAAATGGTAATTAAAAATTTTCATCATTCTCATCGTCATCATCGTCGTTATCATCATCACTGTATTCCTCATCGGCCTCTTCATAAGAAAAACTTGACATTTATAAACAATATTGTATTTATTTCTAAACTTATTTAATTTACAATTCAGATTAAACAGGTTTTAAATGTATAATGGCGATAAACACACACACACACACACACACACACAGGCATGTTACATACATACACACACACACCACACAGGCATGTTACATACACACACACGCACACACATACACACACACACACAGGAATGCTACACACACAAACGAACGAACACACACACCCACACGCAGACACACACACCCACACGCAGACACACACGCACACAAAACGTGCGTTTCATCATTTGTTCCCCATTTAAAATAGTTGATGACCTAAAGTCAAAATATAACCAGAGCAAACAACAACAACAACGAATAGATAAATTGATGGCCATTGTATGTTACAGTGTGGGAATCTACGTGATGGTCATGATGACGAAACCGGTGATGATGACGTCGTTTAATGAGATGACGTCATTCAATGATGATGATGATGATGAAAACGATGCTGGTTATGATGATGAATGAATGTGATCTTAATTATGGTGATCAGTTTTTAGTTTTTTTTTTTATGGCGAGGCTGTTTATTAAATGAATAGCCATATGCATTTGATCTGCCATGAATCCATGAATGAACAAGAATACACACTACTATTATTCAGCCATAGACATACACACATGCAAACGAACAAGCAAACAAACACACGTACAAACAAATAAACATACAAACGTAAAAATAAACACAAACATCAAAACAAACACACACACTCACACACACACACAGTCACAAATACCCATACACGCTTCTGTAACAACACTTGTGTAAACACAACTTGCCATAAATAACACAATTATATCAATCCAACATCCAAAAGTTTATCATTCAGCCAAACGTACACACCCACAAACAAACACACACAAACATTCGCGCGCATACACACACACACGCGTTTACAAATCTATACACAAACTTATTTGAAGGTGCACTGCATGACAAACTGAAAAGCACCTATTCATTCGTACACATACATAGCGATGGTTCAATGTCAAAAAAGTCGATTTAGATTTTTTTCAAATGTTCAAACCTAAAACAAACGAACAGACACACAAACACGTACACACAAACACGTAAGCACAAACATTTACGCACACAAACACACACAAACAAACTCACGCACGCACATCTCAGAAGAGGCAATAAAACAATTGTGTAGAACATTGGCAAACATTTGACAGATGCGTGGAAGCAATTGCTGGATATCCTACAAGTGCATCTCTCATCATCATCCTCATCTTCATCATCCTCATCTTCTTCGTCGTCCTCATCTTCTTCGTCATCACCAACTTTTTTGTTATCATCATCATCGTCATCATCTTCATCGTCAATATCATCATCATCATGTTCCTTCTTCATTGAGTTACACAAAAACTATCCAGTGAAGTTCATTATCAATCCAATTCAACATGGCGGTGCTGCTGCTGCTGCTGATGATGATGATGCTGCTGCTGATGATAGTGATAGGAGCAGTGATGAGTCTGGTGATAATAGCAGCAAAGCATCTGAGAACAGAAATGATGATGAAGAAGATGGCACACGCCGAGATTCTCATGCAAGACTTAAGCGATCTGAAAATGCAGTTGAATCATCAGTCATATCATCGCCTTCTTCATCATCGTCTTCTTCATCATCATCATCATCATTTTCTTCTTCAACAACATCATCATCATCATCATTATCTTCATTAAATTCCTCCTCCTCCTCATCATCATCATCATCATCTCTACCTTTACCATTATTATCGTCGTCATTATCGCCTCCATCGTTAACACCTTCGTGGCCATCCTTACCATCACCATCATCATTACCGTCATCATCATCATCATCATTATCGTCTTCGCCATCATCATCATCGGTGAAATTTAAATTCACCAACAAAACCTACCGCTGTTCTATAGCGGAGAATTCGCCTCAATCTACGTACGTAACTAAAGTTAGAGCCATATTCGAACGCAGAAATAAAAATCCACATGGTGATAACGATGATGATGAAGATGACGACGACGACGATGATGACGGTAACAGTGATGATGAAGATGATGATGCCTATGATGATGATGGAGATGATGATGACGCTGGTGAAGTTATTTCGTACAACTTTGATGGAGATTACGGGGAGACTTTTGCCATTGATGGGGAAACTGGTGAGTCGGGTGACGTAACTGTGACGTAATGATGTAGTTATGTGATGTGATGCTACTGGGATGATGTAGTTATGTGATGTGAGACTGTTGTGGTGATAATGTAATGTTGCTGATCTGGTGATGATAACGATGCTAATTGTGGCTTCGTCAACTAAAACAATGACAATGACATCAACATAAATAATATCAACATGAACAACAATAACATCATCAACAACAACGACAAAATCACCATCATCACCAACATCAACAACAAAATCATCATCACCAACATCAACAACAAAATCATCATCAACAACATCAACAACAAAATCATCAACAACAACAACAACAGGTATTATAACGGTCGTCTCACCGAAACAACTGGACTTCGAACAACGACATCAATTTAAATTGGTCGTCATAGCCACTGCTACAAAGCAGCAACGTCACCCACTACCTCAACCACAACAGCATAAACTGCTACTACCTCAACTACACGAGCTGCAAAAGCGCCAACAACAACAACAGCAACGTGAATACTACGCGTTTACGACAGTTTACATCAACTTGTTAGACGTTAATGACAACGACCCGGCCTTTGAAAGAGATAGATATTACACATTCGTGTGGGAAGGGGTGCCAATTGGAACCTTTGTTACTCAGGTGATGATGATGTTGATGATGAAGGTGATGATGATGATGAAGGTGATGATGATGGCGATGATGAGTGTGATGATGACGATGATGATGATGTGGATGTGGTGGTGATGAAGATGACGAAGAGAATGTCAGGAATTTTGTGTTTCTTATTATGTTCAAGATTGATGGTAGTGATGCTGCTGCTATTTCTATTTTCGCTCTTATACTACTACTACTACTACTACTACTACTACTACTACTTCTACTACTACTACTACTACTTCTACTACTATTATTATTACTACTACTACTACCACTTCTACTACTACTACTACTACTACTACTACTACTACTGTAGCTGTTGTAACCGCTACTAAATCTAAAATTACTGCTGCTACTACATGCTACCAACGCTGCTACTTCTATTACGGTCGCAGTTATTTCTACTACTACTTCTACTGTCTCAAATAATGTTGACGATGCCACTAAATGATATTAGAGAAGTACCGAATGTTTGTTTGACTTGAACGAATATTCATCCAAAATGTGACATTCCGCTTCTGCCATTTCAAGACCGAATGGCCGAATGACGCAACTTCCGTTTGGCTATCACATTATTTTATTCCAGAACAATACTTGTTAATTACCATTACTATTATTATTATTATTATTATTATTATTATTATTAGCGGGTAATTTATTTTGTCCGTCGTAGCTGTTAAAAGATTTGAATTTGGAGGCTAGATTGGATATAATCTTGATGAAGAATTGTAAGATGGACGCGAATAACTTGCTCTTTTCTCAATAGCTTGTTTTTTAATCTAAATTTTTTTTTTCTTAAAATTGTGGTTTTTTAGTATTCGGTACATCTCTACTAAATATTATTACCATTATATATAATTACTGCTATTATTGTTGTTGTTGTTGTTTTTACTGTTGTTAATACTTAATACTTCCGCTATTTTTCCTACTTTCGTTTGCCTAGATAACGGCCACGGATGCTGATAGTGGGAAGAATAGCAGACTTTTGTATGACATCACTTCCGGTAGGTTCCCTACAACATTTACAGCAACAACACCAACATCTTAATAGTTGTAACAACCACAACAACAATAACAACCACAACAATAACAACAACCACAACAACAACAACAACAACAATAATAATAATAAATTATAATAATAATAATAAATAAATAAAATTATGCTTATAAAATAAATTTTCAAACCCTCAACTACTTCCAGGCAATCCCGACGGCGCCTTCATCATCGACCCGCCTAGTACCGGAATAGTGAAAACGAGGAGAGGGATTGATAGGGAATCCAGGGACGTCTACAGGCTGGTGATATCGGCCAGGGATAGTGCGGATATACCTAGGAGTGCAAGTGTCATCCTCAAAGTGCACGTGTTCGACGCCAATGATAATGCACCGGAGTTTGTCGGACTTGACGATGTGGTTGTCGTGAAAGAAGGTTGGTGGTGGTGGTGGTGATGAAGGTGGTGGTGGTGGTGGTGGTGGTGGTGGGGATGGTGAAGGTGGTGGTGGGGATGGTGAAGGTGGTGGTGGGGATGGTGAAGGTGGTGGTGGAAATGATGAAGGTGGTGGTGGTGATGAAGGTGGTGGGGATAAA